ATTGGTAGTACGCGTGATATACTCTCTTCTCGTTAGGGGTAGTCTTGTCGACCCCGGGATACGGCACTTCATCGCCCACTCTCTTCTTCCATGCATTTTCTATACTAAACGTCGTGTGAATCCAACAATACGTGTCTATTGGTGTAAATGAGATACTTTTAACAAATTGTTTGCAATTTTACATTTTAATCAAGTCTTTGGTACAGCATTGGAGAAATTAGATTTCACTTTTGCTTTAACCATTAAAAAATATTATATACACAACAATTCAATGTTAAGTGTATTGATGTGTTAAAAGGTGTAGTTTTGGTCTACAATTCATGTGAAACATATCATAAGTACAACAACTTTTAACCCATGTTTGCAATCAAAACAAAATTATTTCTTTCACAAACTTATGTAATAAAACCTGTATTAGTGTACACTGTATACAGGTTATAGTGTATAGTAATGTTAGGATATTGTATGTTTTTCGTACCTTCTAATATGCAATAGCAATAACTGCCAATAATTGATAAGATTAGCATTATTAGTATTATTATTAAGTAAATTAATTAAAATTCTAAGTGTTATACGAAACTGACCGAGAAGTTTGCTCGGGATGTCGTCCTTTGATATGCAGTCAATGGGATCTCCAAAGTATTGACGGCCTAAACATGTAATCATTTACAATAGTATTAATCATAATCAATGTATACTGTATTGTATATATCATGGATAGTATAGCACTCATACCCGTAACCATTAAACTGAAGGCAATCAGTATAACAACAGTTGCCCTGTAGTGAAGTCGGAAGATGTGATTGTCGATCACCACTGAACTCGTCTTAATGAGTCCCTTAAGACTCCCGAACAACTGATCCATCGTTTCTCACAACCACTTCTGCCTATAATAATAATCTCAATATTATTTCAAATATACATAATATATGTAATGAACTAAATATAATGCATACAAATGGGAATGGAGTTTGAGGTGAATCCCAAAGAAATGTATTGAATGTATTGACTCAACCACTTGTTTGCCACAACTCTATAGCCTATACACTAAACTCTACAACACATACCACTGTCTCTCTC